GCCCCAGGATAACTGTGAATGCAACCCAACATGATATGATGAACTTACTTAAAATTATGTGATTTGGAGAGATTTTAAAATATTACTGTTATTATTAGCAGTAGTACTATCATTTCCATTGCAGCTCCCAGGGCCTGAACTTTGTAGGTAACAGCATTGTGTCACAGTGTTAAAAGGCTGGGGGGAGCCTGAGAGACAGTTGCCCTGTTGAATGTTTACTGAAGGCTGGGAAACCAGTCTTGGCTCCATGTTTACATTCAGGTCAGATGCCAGGGGTTAACATCAGGAAGTGGAGGAGCCAAGACTGAGCCCACTGATTGCCTTGACCTGCCTGGCCTGCCTCTATCTGAAGCACCCGGCACTGTGGACACGCCCACCAGAGCCCTGCCTGAGGCTGGCACTGGGGTGCATGAGAGGAGATGCTATCCTTGTCTCTGAGGAACCCCACATTCATATCAGGAGCTGCAGGGACCATGAACTTGATGCAAAGGCTGCCCCCCCCCACACACACAGTTGTTGAGATCCACTCCACTATGGAGAGCAAGAGCAAGCTCACCCCTAAGGGAGTGGGGCTAGGGGCAGTGAGGAGGGTGAGGAGGATGAAAGACTCTGCTATTCCTCCATGCCAAGACTGATAAAGACCTGGGCTCTACTGCTAAAGTCCCTCACAGTCAGTGTTCCTCTCCTGAGCCTTACAATCACATTTTGGATAACAATGTACAGTAAGTGGTCTGACCACCATGGAGGTCCAGGCGGTTACACTGCCCAGGACTCTGTAGCTCTCTTAGCATGCTTCATGTAGACACGCTGGGATGTTTGCTTGAGGAAATCAGCAAGCATCACTGATCCCAGAATATGTCTCAGAACCTAGAACAGTACCATATTCTAGAAGCCAAAACGGTGCTGACACCAAACCACCCAGGCCCAAAGCCTGGCTCTGCTCTTTGCCTGTGAGCTTGGCTCTATCATTTAACTTCCCATGTACCTCAAAACTCCAATCTATAAAGTTGGCGTGATAATAATAATACCTCTTTCATGGGTTATTGTGAGGATTGATCTACTTAAGACATTGATTGCCTCTTTATTACTAGGTGGCTGTTGCAGCTCCCGCCATCAAATCCACTCTCTGAAGATAAAATGTGAGGAAAAGACTCTGCCTTTTTTTTTTTTTTTTAATCTTTTTGTCTTTAAATGGCAGTCCTTCTCAAAAGCATTTGTTTTTCTATACTCTGTTGACCAGAACTGGGTCACATGGGCAACCGTAGCTGCACTGGAGGCTGGGAGGTAACTCTTTAAAAGCAGAACTCGTACAGACTGAAGGAGATGGGCTGTGGAGCAGCAGGTTCCATCTCTGTCCCCCTGGTCACCGATTGAGGATGTGTCCTCAGGGAGGCTGCACGGCAGCCCTTCTTCCTTAGGGAAGAGGCCCCTGGGGCACTTGTGTTGATAAGTGAGCTCCATGGGTAGCAAGCAGCTCCCTGGAGCAGGAGGGTCTCCCAGCAACAATCACCTGAATACAGCTTTTGTTGGTACCTCTGCATCCCTGCCTGCTCCCTGCCCGGAGGTCGGAGGTTTGTGGTTTGCCCGGTGCAGGGGGCTACCATTCATGGTGCTGTTTGCTTTTCTGTGCTTGGACAAAGCCAGGACAGTCCCGGAAGCTTCCTGTGAGCAGGGCACGAGCCTTTGTGGCAGCTTGGCTTCACAGCGTGGCCTTCCTCCCATCTCCCTCAGTGGCTGTCTACACTGGCTGGAATGGAGGAGAGTCATAGTTTCACTGTCCAGCCCCTTAGCCTCCTGCACCTAAGAAGCAAATGTGGCCCGTGCGGCTGAGAAACTTGGCTCATTTTTTCTATGTTCTTGGTGGCAACTGTGTTGATTTGTACAGCCACACACCAGAGTCCAGGGTCTCTGTTCCCACACACTAGGAGTAACATTCATCTAGATTTACAAAGACTACTCCCCTCTGAGTACCTCTATGAAGGCCCAGAAACGGATAGTGTCTTGTCCAAGGACATACTGCAAGGTACCACACCTTCTGAGGCACAAAACCAAAGCCAACTCCATTTTCATTGTCCATTGTTTCTGATGTGTGTGTTTTGATCCCCTCTATGCAGAAGGCAAAGCAAGCTGTGCATATTAGTGGTGCTCATGTACTGTGGGCAGGGTACCAGGCACGTTTAAGTGGTTTGTTTTGGAGTAGGGCTGGGGCTGGAACTCAAGGCCTTGGGCATGCTAGGCACCCTCTCTGCCCCTGAGCCACACCTTCAGCCTCCATTTCACAGGTAAGACAACTAAGGCCTATGGACATAGCCCCTCCCTGTCCAGTGATCCCAGGACTGCAGTCTGGGGGCCAGTCTTTCAAGGCCATGGGTAGGTTGGCTCTTCCCCGGGAGGGTGCAGGGCAGTCTGCAAGCTGTACCGCCTGACCAGCCAGTGTGGGTACTCAGTGAGCTCGCAGGAGCCTCTGGTCTTCCCTTAGTTGTTTTTCCAGCCTGACTTCCTGAGACTGGGCCCTTGTTAGGTGTGCCTGGTTCCCATTGGCTACTTCAGAGCTGGGCTGGACTGGAGGGCGGGGCCTCGGTGCCAGGTGCACCTGTTAGGGTGGTGGTGTGTGCCGTGCCAGGGCCACCCCCATGTCTGCTCTTGGCCAAGCTCAGGTGCAGCAGCTATTGTGTGTTTTCCACCTTCACCCAACGCCTCGGGTGTTCTAGCAATGCCAGCCCCCGGGTCACTCTGCTTCCTGGGCCTGTGACCGTGGGCGGGGAGAACTGCACTGGGAAGAAACCGCATGCCTGGTCAAATTAGAATACAAGACAACACAAATGCATGCCAAGCCCAAGTGTGTTCCACATGCTACTGGGGGTACCCTAACCCTAAGAATTACCCATCCTTTCTCTGAGGGCAGGCCTCCTGTGTGTCTCGGGTTTTAGATCTTGTTTTACTTAATCTTTTTGGTTTTTTGTTTGTTTTATTTTGTTTTTTCGAGACAGGGTTTCTCTGTGTAGCTTTGAAGCCTTTCCTGGAACTCGCTCTGTAGCCCAGGCTGGCCTCAAACTCACAGAGATCCACCTGCCTCTGCCTCCCAAGTGCTGGGATTAAAGGCGTGCGCCACCGCCGCCGCCGCCGCCGCCGCCGCCGCCGCCACCTGGCTTACTTAATCTTCATGTGGCAACCCTGACTGGATCCCTGTGCTGAGTAAAAAACAAGACCCCAAGAAAGGACATAAAGTTGGTGGAAGAATTGGCAAGAGACTGACAGAGCCTCTTGGGACCAACATGTTGCCTGCATGGACAATAAGACCTTAGTGGCTTCCTTGAAGTGCCTTGAAGACACATAGAAACCATTTATTTAATATAATATAATATAATATAATATAATATAATATAATATAATATAATATAATATAATATAATATAATATAATATAATAAATATATAATATTACAATACCATATCATATATAATATGTAAACTATATATGTCAAGCAAACAAAAACCAGCTACATAGTGTAGTATCAATGGACTTGTGCTAGCATTCACTCACACTTGATTCTGAAATAAACCCCTGGTGACAGTTGAGTGTGCAAAGGGACCCTGTCAGGATGGGCAAATGAAGACCACTGATAAAGGAGCTGAGAATCCCAGAGTCTTGGGTACCACTAAAGATGGCAAGCCAGGACGAGGGGCAGGCGGCCGGGGTTCAGGCCTTTTATGATCTGACCTCGCGTTTTTGGAGGGATGTGACAGTCAGCAGCCTGCACTGGAGTCCACCAGTGTGAGACAGAGCAGGCAGGGGCCCCCCGGCTCCACTGGGATCTTTGGGGGAAGAACCTGTCTGAGGAGGCGAGGTGGGCACAGGGAAAGCCGGAGAAGGGTGGTGGGAAGTAGGAAAGAGCCTGGAGGTTGCCGTGGAGGGTATGGCCGGGACAGTGTGGAGGCTGCGTTCAGCAGAGACCCTGGGGGTGCTTCCTGAGCTGTCACTGTGCCCTCCAACTTGGTTCCTTTCCCGCCACCAAGATGAGGACTCACTCTTTTTTAGAGGGTGGGGGAGGTTAAGAAAACTATCTAGCCCAGGCTGGCTTGGAACTCGTTATTAGCCCAGGCTGGCCTTGAATCTGCCGTGGTCCTCCTGCCCCAGCCTCGTACGCTGGTGTTCAGCAAGTGTGCTACCATACCCGGTAACCTCATTCCTGAGGTGACTTCCTAAGAGTGGCCGTCACAAAGGCCCACACAGCCTGCTACCTGTGTCACCCGTTCCCAGGAGGGCACAGTGCTGCCCCCAGCACTCCTGGCAGTTTGAGGTTTATTGGTCTTAAAGGAACACACCAGGGTCCACAGGACCACCATGGCAAATGACGTTCCATGAGCTCTCATCTTGAAAGGCTCGTCTGTTACCTGGGTACCTTCTCAAGACACAAGCATCTCTCAGGATGCACACACGGGACTGATTACAGGTGCTGTTATGTCCTACACCTATGGTGTCCCCATTTGGGGGGCTCTGCCTGTCTATGCTGTGCTCTCTGTGGGGAGCAGAACCCGCAGGGAGCATGCGCTCTGCAGGATGTAACTGTGCCCTTCATCACCAATTCTCCAGTGTGACACTGTTCAAATTCTGACTCACTACCTGTGACATACCATAGCCTGGCCTTTCAGAGTTCCTTAACCTCTCCGAGCTTCAGTGGCCCGATGTGTGAGATGAGGATCCTGTTGGTACCAGGCTCAGGTTTGGGGGAGTCTGTGAGAAATCACACACAGAGCTTCTCTAGGCATGGGGGTGGGGGGTAATTCATGGTCAGAATGTTAACTCTTAAGTCTGTAGCCATCAAGGGGACACTGAGTGGCCACAGAAGTATCAGCAGCCCAGGAGTGTGGCAGGTTCCATGTATATGGACTGGGTGGGTCCAGGGCCTATTTGGGAAAAGGTCCTTTGTGCACAGCTCACAGGAGTCGCCTGAGCCCTCCCAGGTCCCCCGTCTCTGACCAACTGCTCTTGTCCTCTAGTGCTCCTGCGGGAGGAAGTGGTCCAGCTTCAGGAAGAAGTGCACCTTCTCCGGCAGATGAAGGAGATGCTGGCCAAGGACCTGGAGGAGTCACAGGGCGGCAAGTGCTCTGAGGTCCTCTCAGCCACAGAGCTTCGGGTGCAGTTGGTGCAGAAGGAGCAGGAACTGGCCAGAGCCAAAGAAGCCTTGCAAGGTGAGTGACCGCAACAGGGGACAGACTTGGGTAGCTCCTGCCTGAGCCATCTGAGCCTCCTGGAGTGGGTCCCTGTCACTTCCTGTCTCAGGGTGACGGTTGCTCTGAGGAATGAGTAGCAAGTGAGCTTTAAGAAAAAACTTATTTGAAGCCAGGTGGTGGCTGCTCACGCCTTTAATCCCCAGCACTCAGGAGACAGAGGCAGGCAGGTCTCCGTGAGTTCGAGGCCAGCCTGCTCTACAGAGTGAGTTCCGGGATGGCCAGGGCTGTTACACAGAGAAACCCTGTCTCAAAAAAAAAAAAAAAAAAAAAAACAGCCACAACCACGAATGTATTTGAAGTTTTTTATTAGTATATGTTTTACATAATAATGAGTTTGTTATGCTATTTTCATACATGTGTATAGTGTATTTTAGTCACATCCCCATTCCCACATCCCCATCTCTTGTCCCTCCCACGCCCACTGATCCCTTCCTCTTCCCAATCAGCCCTTCTGCATCCACCCCACCCCCACTGAGTCTATTAGGGCTGCTTACAGGAGGGTGGGTGAAGGGCTATGTCCAGGAACTTGGGCACCTTGCCAATGGTTTCACCACTAAAGCAAATATCTCCCGTGCCTTCAGCAACTATTAACTGCCCACAGATTCCCAGGGAGGGGTGGGGCCTCAGAAGCCATCTTTGGTAGACTGAGACGCTGGCCTACTGCTGAGTCTATCCTACATTCTCGGGATCCTGTGGGGCCTCCCTGAGCACGTGCTGGGCTCTGCCGGAGAAATGCCTGCGGCCCCACATAGCACTCCCATTCCTCAAGGTGGGCTCTGAGAAGGGCATGAGTTTTTTGTCACCACTCAGACCAGTGTCATTTCCCCATGAGATGTAGTGGCACCCTGTGGCCCTGGCACTGCGGAGACACTTGAAGCTATGCAGGTGTCTAGGAATCCCTTGAGGTGGACCACAGTTCCTTGGCCACCAGCTGGCCAAAGATGACAGTGGGCCTCGAATGCAGCCAAGTTCCCTGAAACAGCTCCCAGCTCCTTTTCTCCTGCAAGCCTTCTTGCCCATGCTCTGGGCTTCAGGGAAGGTTCCAGAAAGGACGCCTGCCTAAGATGCAGCTGTCATGGTGCTTTGAGAAGTTGGTGCCACAATGTCTCCAGAGGACAGGTTTTGGGGTGTGCGTGCTTCTGGCTCTGAAAGAATGCATTCAGCCTTCCAACATTGGTGACAGATGTCATCTGCAAAAGTTCACACTTGAGAACTGTGCAGTCCAGTTATAAAACATGGAGAAATGCAAAACCAAGTCTCATATTTTCAGTCAATTTCAGTCATATTTCAATTTATGATTTTGTGCTGTCCCTGAGGGCTGCGGATTGAACACATCTGCCAGACATCTAGAAAAGCTTTGTCCCCGGAAGCCAGAGCTGGCTTGTTGCTTCCACCACCATGATACAGGGAGTAAAGTTTTTCCTTTGACCAGTCCTGGGTGAGAATCTCAGTTCCAGGAGGGGAGTGTTTGAGCCTCCTAGTCCACAAGACACCACGAAAGGGGCCACAGTGGTGGGTCACAGGTTGTCTTGACAGGAGCCTGGTCGAGCATTGCTGGAGGGTCAGGAGTCTGGGGTATGAACTTTCTTGCTGTCCAGCTTTGTCCCAGATGCAGTTCTCATATTATGAAGGAAGAGGGATTTTGTTGGCCAGTGAGCCACCTGCATCCCAGCAGCTTTCCCTGACCCTAGCTTTATGTATGGGTGACTGAGCAGGTGGCCATGTGATACCCCGTTGACATCCCCAAGGATGTGTAAGGAGTCATTGGGAAAATGAGTGTGTGTAGCATTCAATGTGTGTGGGACACCTTGTTGGTGGGGATCTTATTTCAGCAATGTCTTACTTAGGGTTTCTATTGCTGGGAAGAGACACCATGACCGTGGCAACTCTTTTTTTATTTTATTTATTTATTTATTTATTTATTTATTTATTTATTTATTTATTTATTTATTTATTTATTTATTTATTATTTTTGTTTTGTTTTGTTTTTCCAGACAGGGTTTCTCTGTGTAGTTTTTGGTGCCTGTCCTGGATCTTGCTCTATAGACCAGGCTGGCCTTGAACTCATAGAGATCCACCTGGCTCTGCCTCCTGAGTGCTGAGATTAAAGGCATGTGCCACCACCGCCCGGCTTGTGGCAACTCTTATAAAGGAGACCATTTAATTGAGGCTGGCTTGCAGTTCAGAGGTTTAGTCCATTTATAGTCATGGTGGGAAGCCTGGTAGCACACAGACAGATGTGGCGATGGAGAGGTAGCTGAGAGTTCTACATCCAGATCTGCAGGCAGTAGGAAGAGAGGGAGCCACTGGACCTGGCTTGAGCATTTGAAACACCAAAGCCCATCCCCAGTGACACACCTCCTCCAACAAGGCCACACCTCCTGATAGCGCCACTCCCTATGGACTGTGGGGGCCATTTTTATTCAGACCACCACAGCCAGGATTGCTGTGACTGTGGGTATTGATGGCGTAGGCATTGTGACCCAGCTGGTACATGATGACTGCATGCTTGGGAAGTTCATTTTGTCAGTTGTACCTGCGTTTTCTTTATGCAGCCATCTAGAGGTCCATTCCAGCCAGGGTAACTGCCCTTTACTCGGCTCAAGGACCTCATAATATCCCTCCTGTCTCCACCACAGAGTCTCATGGCCTGTAGTCTCCCAGGGAAGGTGCTGTTCAGCCCAGGTCCTTGGTCTCTCTGAGCCTGACACTCCAATGCAGCATTGGTGCTGCCTTGGGGAACCACCAGACTGCCTCTTGCACTTTTCCCAGAGTTTATCCCAGGGACAGAGGACCTTTCCTCCACTGCCCTTGGCCAGGGGCAGAATTCTCAGCTGTGTTTGCTCTTTAAGACTTGGAAGGAGGCAGTTTATGGGCCCAGAGGCATGTGCAGGGCCCAAGCTTAGGTACCCCACTGCTCCCCAGTTCCTGGGGCACAAATCCTATCTTGACCCAAGCAAAGGGCGAGAATCCAAGGTTACACAAGAGTGAGTGAGAATTAAAAGGAGTGCTGTCTGCATCGAGAAACCCAGCTCCCTGGAACGCACAGCATGCAGAATGTGCTGAGTCCATGTTCTAAGATGTTACCTGGATAGTATGGAACCTGCATGCACTGGGTGTTTTCTGTTCGTGTGTCTCGTGATAAAGGTTACCGTCCATGTGAGGCACAGTTAGAGCTTACCAAGAAAAACTAATAACAGAACAGAGCAGTTGCAACTATTTATTCAAAGTCATGAAGGGGCCAGGGAGATAACGCAGATCCAAGCCCATGACCTGCAATCAGTTTTTAGCATTCACATTCAGAAGCACGGTATGGCAGTGTGCACCTGTAAACCCTGCGCTGGGGAGGCGGAGACAACAGGATCCCGCAGGCTCACTAGCCATCGAGCCTAGCGGAGTCAGTGCCCTCCAGGCTCCGTGACAGACTCATCTCAAAAAATCAGGTGGAGAGTGCTTGAGGAAGACACCTGCCACCGACCTCTGGTTTCCATGCACACATACATGCAAGAAGTTATTTAAGACTTATGTATGACTTCTAGAACTTTCTATTTAGTTTTTTGTTTGTTTTTTGTTTTTGGACAGGGTTTCTCTGTGTACCTTTGGCTGTCCTGGAACTCAATCTGTAGCCCAGGCTGGCCTCGAACTCACAGAGATCCGCCTGCCTCTGCCTCCCCAGTGCTGGGATTAAAGGCATGTGCCACCACTGAGGGCTTCTGTTTAGTATTTTCAGTGACCGTGAATAAAGCACAGATGTGGATAGCACAGGTGTCTTTCCTTGAACTGGGGTTATAACATGGCTTACTTACTTTTTTATTGTTGTGATTAAGGCACCACAACCAAAACACCTTGGGGCTTACAGTTTCAGAGGAAAAGTCCATGACCATCATGGCGGGAAGCATGGCATCAGGCAGGCATGGTGCTGGAGCTGGAGCCGAGCGCTTACTTGTTAAGACAACAACCTTGAGGCCAAGAGAAAGCTAACTGGGAATGGTGTGGGCTTTGAAACCTCAGAGCCCACCCCTAGTGACACACTTCCCCCAAGACCACACCTCCTAATGCCTCCTAGTTCCACCAACTGGGGACCAAGTATTCAAACAGATAGGGCCATGAAGGCCATTAGCATTCAAACCACCACATAAGACTTCTTGCCTTATCCACATAGGACCTCTGATGGTGGCCTCTCTGCAGGGGACCAACCCAGCCAAAAGAATCTGTGCTAGCTTCCTGGGAAAACCCTGGGTGAGCCTCAGGGATGTCAAACAAGGCAGAGGTCTTATCTGTTCCACTAGCATGCACACCTTGTGCTTCCTCTGCCCATGTCCACTGTGGAGTCAGCTTGAGACAGAAGATGGAGACCACATTAGCTCCGCCGTGGGATGGCCGGCCAGCTCTGGAGTCAGATTTGAACTGAACTTGTACCCCAGCTGTATCTGTCCCTTATTGTTTCAATACCACATTTTCCTTTATAGCCCAGCTAGCCTTGCACTCACTAGGTAGCCTAGGCTGGCTGTTAAGTCACTGTGATCCATCTGCCTCAGCCTCCCAAGGGCTGGGATTGCAGACATCCCCCTCTTACTAATTCTGACCTTGTCTAACATTCCCGACCTGCCTGAACCTGCATTCTTCTGAGGTAATGGTAGTACCAGTGTTTCTTACCTTCGGGACCAGACAGTGGCTGCCTCTCAGACCGAGAGGGTGGAGTGACATACATGAGTGGCTCACTGCTTACTGGGGATTTATAGTCTCGTGATTGGCAGATGGCAGGGGCTAGGCCCACCTTCTCAGATCTGCTCATAGCTGCCACCTGCCTGGCTTCTAGGCCAAAGGCACCCCAGAGCCCATGTACTCAAAGCAACAGTGTCCCCGAAAAGCTAGTGTCAGGCACCCAGAGCATTCCACCTGGAATCCTGCAGCGTCATAAAGAACTCCACTCCCGCACCAGCCCCTGCACAGGGTGC